ATAGACTAGATGGAAAGCAGTTTAGATATGATTTGTTTAGAATTTCGTGCAAAGCTACTCGAGGCCTATCTGCGTTAGCCATCCCTAAATTAGCAGTGATAGACTAGATCGAAAGCAGTTTTGATATGGTTTGTTTAGAATTTCGTGCAAAGCTACTCGAGGCCTATCTGCGTTAGCCATCCCTAAATTAGCAGTGATAGACTAGATCGAAAGCAGTTTTGATATGGTTTGTTTAGAATTTCGTGCAAAGCTACTCGAGGCCTATCTGCGTTAGCCATCCCTAAATTAGCAGTGATAGACTAGATGGAAAGCAGTTTTGATATGGTTTGTTTTGAATTTCGCCCAAAGCTACACGAGGGCAATCTATATTAGCCGTCCCTAATTCAGCAGTAACAGACTGGAGAGAAAACAGCTAGTCAACACCACCCATCGCCAACTCTTTTACCAACGAATAGTGGGATTGAATGTCACATTACAACGTCCCCGAGGCTGAAAGAGTGGCTATGTTCAGTGACGGGAATTCGAACCCGCGAGCCGCAAATTGTGAATCGAGTTCCCTAACCGCTAGGCTATGCCAGGTCTGTGTAAAGGATTCATTATGTATTTTGCTTTTTTTGTTTATCATTTCTAGAAAGCCTATGTTGAAGGGTTATTTGTTACGTATTATGTGCTACCCTTTTAAGGTAAAGGTCTTTTAGTCTTGTCTATTTTTGTCAAAGGATACTTTGTGATTTTTAAAAATATATTCATATTTGACCGTTTTTATGTTGAAGTGCATTGTGATGTGTTTTATCAGTGATAAAATGATTTGTTTTTGTATTATCTGCCACATGTCTTTTTTTAAAGGGATTCTTTTAATGGGAACATTTTTATCATTTATTGATTTTCTTTGTTAAAGAGCGTTTTATCAGGGGAATATTTTGATTATGTAATAGTTTTCTTTGTTTAATGGTTGTGATGTGCAACTGTTTTCATGGTCAAGAGAAGGTTTGCACACCCCTGGATCAGTGTAAGAATTTAAGTATTATTAGTTTTAAAGTTAAAATTAATTGTCAGCTTAAGGACAAGTCTGACACAGGAAACTGTACTATATGAATATACAATGCATTTCTATCTTTTATAATGTTATAACATATTGTTTATTTCTGTGCATAAGTATGTGCGTGTTGATATGGTTTATTTCCCAAAAAGGTGGTCAAAAGCTGTCAGAAAAGGTCACCTATTTTAACTTCTCGCACCTACTATATAGTAATATATTGTCTATCAGTCATTAGACACTAAAATGACGTCACATACGGGACGCTTAACGTTGCAATTTGTATTGCCGTGACGTCAGTAAAACGTGAGCATGTCATGAATCACAAAAATTATGCACTCTGCAGGCTACAACACAACATGACATATGAACTTTTAATTTTGGTTTTATCTACTCTTGAAAAAGAACACATTCGAGGATCCCGCGGAAGTACAACTAGTATATATATGCATGTATTTAATAATAGTGGTCAAATTAAAATCCCTGTATGAGATAGTACCCGTTTTGTCCTTGGGTTGTTTTGCTGCAGTAATGCACGTTTTGTAAGGATATTGTCCTCAGTTTGTTGATAATCCGGGGTTCAAGATTTCCTCTTGCAATGGTATTAACCTACAGTGATATAAGTGGAATATGCATTCTGAAAATTCAGTATTATATATATACTAGCTGTATAATATTATGATCTCTTAGTCATCTTTCTCAAGCTCTCCCTTGTGTAAGTGAAGTTTAAATCCATTCTTGATAACTTGTAATACTCTCCTAAAGTATAACTGAATAAAATCAATTTATTATTAAAAATATTTATAAGTTGTTAGAAAAAATAAAGGGATAAGTACACAGCAAGACGCTGTCCTTCATCATGTGCACAGTATTTGTATTGTTTTGAGTTCGAATAGCTTCACTGTTTGTTGGAGCCCTGACGTCAGTATAATTGCAAATTACTATATGAATATACAAGTAATCATCTTTTATGTTGAAGGAGAGTGTCCTGTCCTGCACTGTAGAGGATTATTTATTGTTTTATTGTATTGCCCCTTTGAAAATGTAGCACAGAGCTACACAATGGAATTACTTATTTGGACTGTATCTTGTACAAGTGTATTAACATAGATATATCAATTTCCCTATATAAGACTTGCTACTTTGTAAAATATTGTAGAACCTTCGAAGATCCTGACAGTAGCATGGACAGAAGCTATACTAACTAGGTTGGGCTTAGTATAGTAATACCTTAACATCGTGGTATTTATGTCCAAACATAATTATTGATGCTGGAATGCCAACGTCAAGGACAGTTTTATATCAAAAATCAGGGCACATTGCATAACTACCCACCTTATGGTGTGTACCCAGGTGATACATGTCCGTTTTGTGGCTGCGTTGTTTCTTTTTTTTTCTTTTCATGTTCTAAGCAATATTACAATTAATTACTTTTCATCTGCGGTTTGGATATGCTGTGTAAAATTCACTCTATTCTTCCTTATGATGTAATCTTTTGTTTTATTATATAATATATATATATCCTTTTTATTTTAATGAATTGTTAGTTACAAGGTATAGAGAAAATTGCACTCCAAAAAAGAGAGACAGAGAAATTGCAAATTTAAACATGTTTAATGCATACTATCACATGGTTTTGAACCAAACTTAAATCCCTGTAAAATGGGGTATAATCATTACTATATATGTGCAAATAATAAGCATTACGAAAAAGCCAATATACAATCTAAAAAAAAGTAGTCATAAGATTTTCCTTTAAGAGATCAAACATAGTTTGCTGTGATGTGTGATCTAAAAAAAAAGTAGTCATAAGATTTTCCTATAAGAGATCAAACATAGTTTGCTGTGATGTTCAGCACACATACAATCAAGGAAAGACATACAAATAGAAGGACTAAAAGTAAAACTACAAGTACAACATTACCAACATACTTGTTATAATACACACAAAAAAAAACAGGAATTTTGTTAGACATTAAATAAATACATGCTTTGTATGTTTCACATTTCAAGAAGTAATTTTTACCTTCTTATAACTGAATATGCATAATCCTCAGTTAAACAAAGGTTATAAACCACAGTATTCAAGCAACTGAGCTTATAATTACTTGGACATGTTTCTGTTTCATCACTCCTCTTGGGTTGGATCATAGTCGAAGTAGATGGATGATACAAGGGTTTATAAAGTAACAAGTGATTATGTTTAAATACAGTAATTATATTTTTCAAAAAGACATTAGGAACATTTATTGTCCTTGTAAATATAAAAACTACATTTTATAGTTACACTTCACATTTCAAATATTCATGTATTACTTTTGTGACAATTGTGACTTTTGAACTGATTCTAAAAAAAAGATATTGAAAAATGGGTTTCCAGAACACAGGAAAAAAATATAAACCAAAGAAAATTCCAACAGGGAATAAACTGGTTTCCTCCAATTTCGTTTCTTTTATGGAAATTTTTCATTTTTTTCCTACTGGGTTAAAAATGATTAAATATTGGCCAGTTGGTTTTAGTCTGGATTAACCTGCAGATCTATTTAGTGGTTGGACTCTTTTGAAGTTTGAAAAAAGCACAACAGGAAACCATTGTGCTTATTGAGCTCATACCCCATTAAATTAATATGAATGTAACTACTATTTGTAATAATATATCAATGTTTGTGCATTAAGTCCCCATTTATCTAGAACCATCAAAGTGTACCAATTTTTGTAAATGTGATTGTGAAACACAGGTGAGATTAAATTTTTGAAAAAATACCCAGCTTGTTCATTGAAACAATTTGCAGGTATCGAGGCAGTAAAGTAAATGGAAGTTAATACTTACTTGGAAACTATTATGATCATTAATTCAAAATTGCAAGTTATATAAAACACTAGTTTCGTGTTCAGCTAAAAAGTTTCAGACACTCATTATGAAAGAATATAACAGGTATATATCAAACAAACAAGATATTAATTCAAACAGTTTTGATCCTCCACCCTCCCACAAATAACCCTACAAGGCTCGAAATTAAGCACAATTTCTTATTAGTGATCTAGCCATTTCAGGAAGGATTAATACTTCTCATATTTTGTAACTTGAATTTAAGACCACAGTCTCAAATGTACATTTGCTAAGGAAGTACTTATAAGTGGGTGAACACACACACACAAAATTAAATGGAATAATCCACCAAAATAAAAGTGAAACCTCCATTAGGCAACATTAACCTGGATGAAAAGCTGGCTCTTCTGTCCAACTAAAATTTAAGATTCACATGAACAGTGAAATACTGATATGATGTAATATTAGAACCTTCCTTCATGCTAAGAACAAAAATGGATATCAAATCTGCAATTAAAAAATTTCCTTTTTCACTGTACTGGAAAACAAAAAGGATTTTTAGTCGGATAATTAATGATGTCATCTTTATTCTGAGAAGTTATTACACAATTTTTTGAAACATAACAGCTATCTTGGAACTACTTGGGGTCCATTCAACATACTGAGTGTTTTTTATGTGGATTGTGGAAAAACTACATCATTTCCAAGTAAATTTCACTTTTCTCTCACTGCACATGTTCCTCTTGGTTATTTAATTACTTGTTTCCAAGTAAAAGTCCCAAATAATTAAATCACTGGTTCATTAAACTTAAAACTAATAAATATCAACCTATAATCTAATTACTTACACTCTATAATATAATGCTACACAATACTGATTCTGTGGAATGGACACATTTAACTAAAACTTGACAGTTTCTTTCTTCTAATGTTACTATATTTTCATTAGATATTCAAACTCTTGTATAAATAAATTCTGGTATAAATAAATATTAAATATATTTATCAAAATATTTGCTAAAATTTAATCTTGGTCTTATTTTTGATGGCAACAAGTATAATCATTACTACATTTTCAACTCAATCTACTTTGAAACATTCTTCGTTTAATATAGCAGTAAACTAAATAATTTTTAAATCTGATTTCCATTTACAATCTTACAGTCAAAATAAATGAATCAACTTGATAATACTACAAAATCTTCAAAGGCCACACTTTCAACACAATTCTTAATTGGAAAAACAGAAAAATGTGTTATGTGTTAAGGTTATTTCTTATGGATTTGTTTGTCTTTTTTTCCACATTGATTTGATAGTCTATGGTGAGTCTTTCTTCAGGTTTGACTCATAACAAAGCCCAAACATGATCTTAACACCAAGACAGTGGACAGAAAAAGTCTTAGAAACAATGTCAACACATCAAATATACGGTCAAACCTGTTTTGAAAATATAATGCATTATAATATTTTTTAACCTAAATAATACTAACAAAAATTTTATGTTAAACGATAGTCCACACTATTACCGAAATATTATTAAGCAATTTCTGTGTTTTAGCATACTGCCATATTACTGAGAAAAAAAACGTTAAATTTTCTATAATGATCACTGAAGGTTTTAATGAAAGTAAATCTTCTATATCTAATGTTGACTGAATATCCAAAGCTGTATAAATAATTTTAGATTTTGAGTTACCCAAATTGAAAAAAACAAAAACATCATCATTTCTGATATGCCAGTGCCAAGTAAAAATATTATCTTTGCTACATTTTTTTTATTTCATAAAAACATTCACTTATGATGGAAACATATTACCAATTATTCACATATTCTTCAAAAGTTGATGCAAAACTGGAAAAAAGTACACAGTTTTCTGTAACATAAAAATACATACTGTTTTCCTATAATATAAATGCTCTCAGCTTTTGTCTAGTTTATTAATGGAGATTCTTCATTACCACTCTTAGTTTCATCATCACATTTGCTATCATCGGTGGCTTGAAAATCTTTTGGCTGATGATAGTTAGAGTTTCTCCTAATTCCATAGCCAAAGTAGATGATAAAACCTGTGAAAATATAACAGATGTCTTAAAACTAAATAAAACATTCTGAGAAAACTAAATGTTGAAATTAAGAAATCCTTGTCTCTCAACAACCACCTAATTGTAGAAGTACACTTAATATCATTTTACAATTATTAAAAAGTTAATAGTTTACAGATTAGTGTGGTAAATACAAACATGAACTTAAAAGGAACATTTGATTATTGTTGTACAATTATTTGTATATCAAGTTGGCTCATTAGATAAAATGTGGCTGGATGGAGGAAAGCAAAAGGTTGTTATAAATGGAGTTCAATCAAACTGGATTAGCTTCACAGGTGGGGTAACCTCAGGGCTCAAGTGTTAAGACTTTTGCTGTTTTTGATTTATATCAATGACAAAGATTGTCATGATATAAAGGATTGTTTGGTTTAGATATTAGTGATTAATTTATTTTTGTGAGTGAATATATTATTATTGTTTAG